GAAGCCCCTGTCAGGTGAAGGTGCCACATCTGGCCAGATGCTATAAGCTATAGGAGGTGGTTGGATGACAGAGATGGCAGAGAGGGACATATGTCCTGCCTTTACCCTTCCCATCTGGACTTTATGTCCTGCAAGGCCTCAGAACTCAAGCTCTGTAAATCTGACTCTAGAAAGCACTCTAGCAACATGAGTAGGGATCAATTGATCAATAAAAAAGCAGTTATCAAGCGGAACTCTTCCCTCTTCACAAAACACACATTGGTGGAAATGTCTGTTAATTTAATGTGTGTTTTGAAAAGTTACTTTAATATGTGTTTTTTTCCTTTATTGTAGCATTAATACACAGTCTAAAGTAGAAACTTTAGAAAACACAATATGTCACATGAAGAAAATAAAAATGACTCACAATTCTCTTATCCAGCTAGAAAGACTGTTAATTTAATGTTTATTTTAGATTTCTATTCATTCATTCAACAAATATTTATAGAGCCCTACTATGTGCCACGTGGGGTTGCCAGGCGTTGGAATCAACTCAATGGTAATGGGAACTATGTGCTAGGGAGTCCCTGGGTGGTGTAAATGGTCGATGCGCTTGACTGTTAACCAAAAAAGTGGAGGTCTAAGTTCACCTAGAGGGGCCTCCAAAGAAAGGCCTGGTGATCTACTGCTGAAAAAACAGCTACTGAAAACCCTATGGAGCACGGTTCTACTCTGACACACATAGAGTCGTCATGAGTTGGAATAGACTCAACGGCAACTGGTTTACAGTGTGCTAGACTTGTGCTAGGCACTAGGGATTCAGGATGAAGAAGCTGACATAGTTTCTGCCTTTAAGCAGCTCACAGTCAGGGGATGAGGTACAGGAGACAGGCTCTGAGCAAGTTTGAATAGCGGGGACAGTACAGAGTGCTGGGGAGCATGACAAAGGGATTAACCTCATCGGGGAAGACTCTCCTAGGAAATGATGTTCAAATTGGGACTAAGGGATGAGTAGGGATTAGCCAGGCAAAGGAGGTGTGACAGACACATATGAGGCCCTCAGAGCAAGGGGTGAGGGCGGGCTGGAGAAGAGCATTCCAGGCAGACGGGGGGGAAAAGAATGAAAAGAAGGCTGCGATACAGAGTAGGGGGTAGGAGGCACAGGCTGAGCTGGGAGGCAGGAAGGAAGGCAGGGGCCAGGTCAGATTTAAGGCTATGGGCCTTGGCAAGGAGTTTTTACTTTACCCTGAAGGAAATGGGAAGCTAGGGGTGGGTGTCCAGCAGGAGTGGTCTGTTCTGCTTTGTAGGCTGTCTCCCCACAAGATAGAGCTCTTTGAGGGCTGTGTTGTTCCTCTATGTCCCCATTTCCAGGGAGGGCACATGGCCATATCCTTAGGAGCCCCCAGGCTGAGAGAAGACGCATGACAGCCCTGTCTGAGGAAGGGAGATGTGGCCATGCCCCCAGCAGCTGCTGGTCGGAGTGGGGAGGCAAAGCCCTGCCGTCAGGAACCCTGTTGTGAACAGGAGACAAGACTCACCCACTCCGGGCCTTCCTCACCCTTGGGTGTCCTGAGTCCTTGGCATCTGGGACACAGGTTTGAGCCTGACCATCCTACCCGCTGGCCCCCATCCGTGAGGACCATGGCTGAAAATGTGTCCAAGGCAAGTGTATGACTCATGTGGGCCTGTGAGGCCAAAGGCTCTGATGCTGGCAGGGACCAAGGCCAGGACTTGCAGGAGCCATGTCTTCAGCTGCCTGTTCCCCTCAGGGATATCTGGAATCTGTCTGTATTGTCTTCCTATGCAGGACCTGTCTGTGCTCAGCCCATCCTTCTACACACCCCTAGAGGGTCACCCCTTTCCGTGTATAACGGGAGAGGGCCCACCCTGCCCAAAGCTGCTTGTCCCCCCGGGCCAGGCTGGGTGGAGAAGTGGGTCAGCCTGGTAGCTATGGTGATAGCAGTGCTCCCTGCCAGCCTTCTCGTCTCCTCACCACAAACCTCACCAATGAGCTCCTTTGTCCAGTCCGGGAGGGATGGGGGCCAGGAGGGTGATACTGTGTGTGTATGTGTGTGTGTGTGTTCAAGCTCACACAAGCACCTGTTCAGAGCAGGTGTGTGTGCCTCAGGCAAGGGAACTCACAGCTCCTGATAAGACACTTCCCACTTCCCTGCCCACTGAGGGGATGGGCCTCTCCCTTCCCCTTTGGGCTGGGCAGGGAACTAGGGGAGGGTGTGTGCGTGAGTGTGTGCGGTGTACACACACATATGAGTCTGAACACCTGTGGCTGTCAGTGTGGGTGCTTCTGTGTGCCTTTGTGTTGATGAGTATCTGGGTGGGGATGTATGTGCCTATCTATCTACACGTTTGTGTCTTTAAGTGTGTATCGTCTGTGTGGGTCTGGAAGGTGTGCAATCACACATTTGAAAGTCAGTGTCCTGTCTTTCTCCCAGTGTGTGTGTCTGCGTGCATGCTAGCCTGCTTTGGGGGAAACAAAGATCTGCATAGCCAGGAGAGGGGCCAGCATAGTGTGCTTCCCTCTCTGGCTGTATGCGTCCTTGGCCCAGCCTGCCACCCCCCCACGTACAAACCGCCACCCACCTGTCTCTCCCTGCGTGGGTTAAGCAAAGGCTGGAGCTGAGAGAACCCTCAGCCCCTTCTGTGGAGGCAGGCACTGGCCTCTGACGTGGGCACAGATTGGCATGGGTGATGTGATGGGCAGTCCTCGGGTGGGATTGGAGTTGGAGCGGGAGTCTCAAATGCCAGACCCAGCATCCAACAAGGGGCTAGGCACTGAGATGCTGGCAGGGAAGGCACAGCCTCATGGTGCTAGGGCCCGCCTAAACCAAGAGGTCCAGGGAGCTGTCGGTGGGAGGTGATCCTGTTAGTCTCTGGGCCTCCGCCTGATGTGGCTGCACCTGGTGTGGAATCCAGGCCAATAAGAACAAACACCTGTTCAATCCTTTACTGTTTATAAAGTCACTATTATTAATAATAATAATATGATTACTCGCCTGAGCACTTAGCATGTGCCAATCTTTATTTTGTAATATTTCATCTAATAATTCTAAGGCAGACATTCCTATCCCCACTTTAGCAATGAGGCTCAGAGGGTTTGTTCAGGATGTTGCCCTGCATCATACGGCTTGTAAGTGGCGGCTTAAAACTTAAGTCTATCTTTGAACCAAAGCCTGTTTCCTCGTTTTGTTTTGTTTTTTTATAACTTATTTAGTTGTTGTTGTTGTTGAGAATATACACAGCAAAACATACACTGATTCAACAGTTTCTACATGTACAATTCAGTGACACTGATTACATTTTTTGAGTTGTGCAACCATTCTCACCCTCCTTTTCTGAGTTGTTCCTCCTCCATTAACATAAACTCACTGCCCCCTAGGGTTCCTATCTGATCTTTTGAGTTGCAAAGCCTGTGCTTTTAATCACTGTGCTTTCCTGGACCTCATTATCTCATCTGGTCCGCAGTCTAGCCTGGAGAGTCCAGCAGGTTGAGGAAGCAATTAGACTCATTTCATAGAAGAGGAGATGGAGGGTCAGAGAAGCTGAATGACTTGCTCAGGGTCACATGGCTGGGGGACAGCTAGGAGTGCTCCCTCCTGCCACACACACTCCTGACTGCTGGGCATGTCCTCAGCAATTGGCCTGGATGAGTTGCCCATGTGTTAAAAGTCTTTTTTTTTTTTTTAATTTTTTTTTAATTGTGCTTTAGATGAAGGTTTACAGAACAAATAGTTTCTCATTAAACAGTCAGTACACGTATTGTTTTGTGACATTGGTTAACAATCCCACAACATGTCAATACTCTCCCTTCTCAACCTTGGAGGACCTTTTTTTTTGGTGAAAATATACATAGCCAAAGTTACACTATTTCCAAAGTTTCTACATGTACAATTCAGTGACATCGATTACATTCTTCCAGTTGTGCTGCTATTCTCACTATTCTTTTCCAAATTATTCCATCACCGTTATCTTCAACTCACTGCCTCCAGGCTTCCCATCAAACCTTTTGAGTTGCTGTTGTCAGTTTGATGTCATATAGATAATTCTTTTTTTGTTTTTTGTACCTTAGATGAAGGTTTGCAGAACAAATAGTTTCTCATTAAACAGTTAGTACACATATGCCCTATGACAGTGGTTAACAACCCCAAGACATGTCAACACTGTCCCTTCTCAACCTTGGGTTCCCTATCACCAGCTTTCTTGTCCCCTCCTGCCTACTAGTCCTTGTCCCTGGACTGCTGTGCCTCATTAGTCTTGTTTTGTTTTATGAGGCTGTCCAACCTCCGGCTGAACAGTGAACTTCAGGAGTGACTTCACCACCAAGCTAAAAGGGTGTCCGGGGGCCATATTCTTGGGGTTTCTCCAGTCTGTCAGGCCAGTAAATCTGGTCTTTATTTTTGTGGGTAGAATTTTGTTCTACATCCTTTTCCAGCTCTGTCCAGGACCCTCTATTGTGATCCCGGTCAGAGCAGTCAGTGGTGGTAGCCAGGCACCATCTAGCTGTACTGGACTCAGTCTGCTGGAGACCGTGATACCTGTGGTCCATTAGTCGTTTGGACTAATCTTTTCCTTGTATCTTGTTTTCTTCGTTTTCCCTTGCTCCGGAAGAGGCGAGACCAGTGGAGTATCTTCGATGGCTGCTCACAGGCTTTTAAGACCCCATATGCTACTCCCATGTTTTAAAAGTCTTTAAACTGTGTGTGGGGCTTCAGCACCAGCAATTTCAGATTAAAGTACCTAAAGGTAGATTAGGGGACCCGAGAGTTTGGACAGTTTTACAAAGGAGGAAACAGAGACTCAGAGTTTAAATGATTTGTCCAAGCTAGCTCCGAAGTCTTTCTTTTTACTTCAGAAACTACTGGAAGCCCTTGAGAACAGATGTCATGCTAGTCCTTCCTCTAAGCCTCCTTCTTCCCTTCCAGACCCTTTTCTCACACCACTTCCTCCTGGGAGCCGGCCCTGGTTGCTTTCACCTTATTTCTTGAAAATTGGTGTCTGGGCAGAAGTTAACTGAAGTCTCGTGCAAATGCCCTAGGGCTGTGCTGTTGGGAGGGGCACAGCCCCTTGGGATGCGGAACACCACGCTCAGATTCATCAGTTCGGTGAGTTTGGGTTTTCTTAGAGGTGGGGGATGGGGAGGGAGCACTTGACCACTGACATGGGAACTTGGAGCTCTGGAATCCTCACCAAATTCCTGTGTGACCCCGGGCGTGTCCCTTCCCCTCTCTGGGCCTTGATTTCCTACTCTGCAAAATGGAAGGCTCAAGCTGGAATAGAGAAGGCAAGTCAATTTTAACTCATGCAGCTGTTTTTGATCAGTTGGTGCTGGGGCATTGTGTTGAGAGGAATTCCGAGGTTAAATCTGGCCTCAATGGGAAAGAGGGATGGATTAGTGATGTCTACTGTGGGTGGAGGATGGGGAGGGCTGGTTAGAGCCTCTGTTATTTGCTATTTCTTCCAGTGTAACGGGCCATCACCCTGTGACAGCTTCTTGGCTTTTCCTTTTGAAAGGATGGGTGACTACGTTTAGCTCAGGCTTTTGGGTGGCTTCACTGACTCTCAAAAAAGGCTTGTTATCTGGTTGAACACATGGTCAGAGGGACTCAGGAACCCAGCGTGGCTTGGCAGAGCCTGAGTCTGGCTGTTGTCAGGATTCAGGAGAGGGTTTGGGGGACTTTGAGGGTACTGAGACCCCAGGTGGAGGCCAAACATTGAGAGCTGAAAACACTCAGCTTATTCCTGGGGAGCTTAGAAGGTTTCTGCTAGCATGGAGTTTTGACAGGATTGGATTGGAGGATAGTAACCCTCTACCCTGGAGGATAAACCCAAGTTCTCTTGCTGCTGCTGTAGTATAGACGGGAGTCAGCAGGGGGCCCTTCAGAGTGAGGTCTCTGTGGCCAGGGAGATCGTGGGAGGGTCTCCTTCCTTGGGGTGACATGATCTGGGCTGGGAAAGGGACAGCCCTATCAGAAGAAGGGGGTGTTGAGGTGACTTTGGTGGAAAGGCTGTGGCTCATGTAGCAGTCCTTTAGCACCACCAGTGTGAGAGATGCTGTGTCCTCGCCGCTCTGCCCCACCTCCGCCTGCTGCCCCTTTCTCATCCTTATGGTCTGATGGCCCGAGGGCTGCTGGCAGTCAGATGCCCCTCCTTCCAGAGCCGGTGTGTCTCTCTGTCTTGCCCTTCCTGAGCCCCATTTCCGAGCCCTCCGCTGCACCATGCGTTCACAGACTCCAGCCCTCTCTGTTAGAAAGACCTTTGGAAATCATCCAGTTCATCCCCTCTGCTTTACACACAGGTGAGGAAACCAAGGCCCAGCGAAGGTCACACAGGGAGTCTCTACACATTCTAATCTTGCCTCCTGGCTCCTAACCTCCCAGGCAGGACTCCTGGAGCAGGGTGTCAGGCCCTGACGCCTTGGGTCCAGTGCTTTGGGCCTGGCTCCTCCTGCCCTCTTGGAGAGCAGCCTGCCTGGCTGGGGCCTGCCAAGCATTCACCAACTCTCCAGACCCCGCGGGTGATCCCTGGGTAGTTAAAGATGAGAAAGCGACTCTGGGTGGCACAGAGTCCTGGATGTCAAACCATCTGATTGTCAGTGCCGTTCATTATTCAGGAGGAAACTTGAACCCCTGGGTTGGCAGGGTCAGGAATTTTGTCCCCTCCCCCCTTTCCTTCTCATCCCACGGGACCTTAGGGGTGGGGGTGGAGGGACTCTCAAGTGTCCTGGAGGTAGCACCAGGCAACCACTTGCTTCTCTAGCTGTGGTTTGGGTGGGATTTCTGCCACCTCTCACATGTTCACACCAACCTGGGCCAGAGGGGTGTTCTCATAATAGATACTTTCCTTTCCTTGCAGTCTTCTCCAAGAGCCCAGAGACCCAGGGACAAAGCCCTGAACTGGAAGGATGACACACATCTTTGGATGAGCTCTGGGTTGAAGGAGCAGGGGCTGCTGAGGGTGTCTGTCTCTCTGTGGAAACCGGAGGCCTGGGTTCGAGTCCAAGCCTGGCCGCTTAGCTGACTAGGATAAGTCAGTCCCTGACTTCTCTGAGACTCAGTTTTCTCACCTGCTATGTGGAGATAACTCCACACCTCACAGACATACTATAAAGAGTAAATTAGACTTACACAGTGGTAGATTCTCAGGGTCAGATAAGCGCTCTCCCACCTTCCACCAAAAGGCCCGTGCGGATACCCCAAAACACATACACTGGCACTAGGATTGGAAACTAAAGAGAAGAGATCATCCCAGGCTGCAGTCCAGGGCCACTTTCCATTAGCTGCAGTGTTGATGGGGGTAGATGGAGAAATGCAATCTGGGGCTCTGCACACGCCACAGGGTGAGCGAGAACAGCCCAGACAGCCACAAAGAAGGCAAAACAAGGCTTTGGCTCATCCCCACTGTCAGCCCTAATTCGCTAGGCCAGCAGGTTCCATGCTGCCCAGGAGACCAGGTGGCTGTCTCAGCTGCCTGGGGACTGTCTTCCTCACCAGCCAGAGTGGTACCTTCCCGTTCCCACTCCCATTTGTCCCCTCCCTCCTTCCTATGTTCTTTTAAGAGTCCCTTTTGAAGGGCAACAGGCCTGAGAGCAGAGGGTCAAACAAAATGCCGTGTCCTGGGATGGGCAGCTGCCTGGGGAAAAGCACTGGACGCCGGGGCAGGGCCAGGAGGGTGCTGGGTGCAGAGCAACCACTCTGGCTGCCTTTCCTGGATTCTACCGGAGCAAAGGACACCCACTGCCACATCCGACTCTGCAGCCAAATTGCAGAGCCTGGCAGCTGGAGCCCACCTCTGTACAAAAGAGAACCACCAATGCCTGCTGCCCCTGCTCCCCAGCAACGGCTCCCAGAGCCCTCTTCTCCTCTTCGTTAGCACTTAGCGTAACCATCGTTAAATATTTAATAGTGTGGTTAGTTATTTACTCTCCGTCTCCCCTCCTGGACTGGAGTCTTTGGGAGGGCAGGACCAAGTTGGCCTGGCTCACTGCTGTCTCCTCGGCACTCAGCATAGGCCTTGGCATTTTTAGGGCTCAAATATTTGTTGAATGCCGCTGATGAGGAGAGTAAATTTGTACACTTTAGAGAGGAATTTGGCAATATATTCCAAGAGTCCAAAAACATGTATGCTGTCAGTATTAGGTAGGATGCTTCTGGATGTAACAGAGGACCCTGATCCTAACTGACCTAAGCAATGGAAAATATATCTCACATAACTGGCTCCAGGTGTGACCTGAGGTCCTTTCTGTCACTGTGCTGCTCTCAACAACACTGGTTTCATCCTAGGGCTGGGTCGTCTCTGAGGGAGGAGTCACGGGAGGAGAGAAAGAGAGACAGACAGAGACACTCATCTCTCTTATAAGCATGGAATCCAAATCTTCCCCTTAAGTCTGATTGGACCAACTTAGTTATATACCCACCTTGGACCAGCAAGAGCTGCCGAGGCAATGTCATTCCCTGGCTGGCTTGAACTTATCAGGATCTGCCTCTAAAACAAGGGATGAGGTGGTTCCTGGACAAAACCAGCACTCTGTCAGGAAGCAGGGTGGGAGAATGGATGTTGGGGAGGCTACCTGCGGTGTCCACACCCTCTGGCCCAGTCACTCTACTTCTGGGACTCAATCCCAAGAAAATAAGCAGACAAAATCAGTGTAGAAAGATGTTTATTACAGTGTTACTTAAAATAAAGAAAAGAGAGAGAAAGGGAGACAGTTAGACCTGGTCTGAGAGGTAACCATATTGAAATATTTATTCTACCTTCATACAGTGGGATATTATGGCAGCATTGAAATCTTTACACAAAGTGTTAATGACATTGGCAAATGCCTATGATATAATATTAAATGAAAAATAATACCAGGATATAAAATTGTATTTGCAGTATGAGTTCAATTATTTTTTAAAAATGCATAGAAAAGAGACTGGAAGGGAATAGATTTAAATGCTTATAATGGCTGCCTCTCAGTCATGCAATTAAGGGTGATTTTTGTCTGCTTCTTTATAATTTTCTGTACCACCACCTTGGAGCAAGACAACCCCTTCCACAGTCTGGATGGGCTGGAACCAGTTTTGTTCTTCCTTCTCTTATTATTTGCTATGAAAATAACAATCACTAACACTTAATGTATGTTTACACCATACCTGCCTGGTGTAGGTGCTTTACATGCACTATCTAATTGAATTCTTATAAAAATCTATGAGGTAAGTGCTTTGTTTTTCATTTTGCTGAGGTGTTCCTTGAAACACAAACATGTTTTCAGCCACAGGGCCACAAATCTAGTGTGTAGACCCATTGCCGACTCACAGCAACCCTACAGGACAGTAGGACAGGGTAGAACTACCCCATAGGGTTTCCAAGGCTGTCATCTTTACGAAGCCGACCGCCACATCTTCCCCCCCACATCCCCGCCCCCTACACCCTGCAGAGCGGTTGAGTTCGAACCACCCACCTTCCTTTCGGTGAGCAGCCCAGCGCTTAACCACTGCGCCACCAGGATTCCTTTTAGAGTGTAGAGCTACCTTTGGAATTCAAACCCGGGCAATTTGACTTCACAGCCTCAGTCATCACCAACAAAGCCGGTCATGTGCCAATTTCTTCACAGCCACGCCCTAAAGTCCCATTAATCGAGCCAGACCTTGTACACGCCCCTTACGTCTGTTCATTTAATCCTCACAACCTCACGGGGCCCTCTGAGGTCGAGCGACTTGTCCAAGTTCGCACCACTAGGAAGTGGTGGAGCTGCGGTACAGTGGGCTCGGGCTCTGACGTGGGATCTTTTGTCTCCCCCCCGCCCCACCCCAGAGCTGCCTGAGGCCCTGCCGCCCAGGGGACCATGTTTAACGGGGAGCCGGGTCCGGCTTCGGCCGCGGCCTCCAGGAACGTGGTACGGAGCTCCAGCATCAGCGGCGAAATCTGCGGAGCCCAGCAGGCTGGGGGCGGGGCCGGGACCACCACCGCCAAGAAGCGGCGCAGCAGCCTCGGCGCCAAGATGGTGGCCATCGTGGGCCTGACCCAGTGGAGCAAGAGCACGCTCCAGCTCCCCCAGGCTGGTGAGGAGGCATGGGACACCGAGGGGCAGGGCGGGAGGCAGAGGGATGGGTAGGAGGTGGTGGAGGTGGGGGGAGGGGAGTACACCTTTTGCCAGCAGGGGACCCAAGGACTGCCCTCACTCGTGCGCGCTCTTGTGTACGGGTCAAGTATGTCACCTGTCCACACCCACATACACTTACATCTAGCACGTTCCATATAGGAGGCACTGTTCTAAGTCCAATACATGTACTGACTCGCTTAACCCCCATATAACTCTATGAGGCAGGTACTAAAGGTAGAGAACCTGAAGCACAGAGAAGGGAAATAAGATGCCCCAAACCACACAGCTAGTAAGTGGTGGAGCCTGAATTCAAATCCCCTGCAGTTGGGCTTCCGAATTCATGCTTTGAACCTTTAAACTTTGCTGCCGCCATACAGAGACTTACACATTAATCGGTAATTATTTACTGAACAGCCATTATGTATGTTCCTAACACCATGCTAAGTGACCCCACAATCTCACAGACACACACATCTGCAGGATTCGGTCTCACCTGTAATCCTTGCATTACCTAAATACAAAGAGCCACACAGATGTAGTTACACAGCACATGAGTCTGTTACAAAGTCATAGGGAAGACCTACACAGCGGGTCATGTGCCAGCTTCTTCACAGTCAGTCACGTAAACACAGTAGTGCTCAGGAAAAACACCCATACTGACAGGGAAGCACAATATGCTCATTGACAAGGTGGTGTTTTTAGTTGCTGTCCAGTCCATTCCGACTCATGATGATCCCACGTGTGCAGAGTAGAACTGCTCCACAGGGGTTTTAAGGCTGTGACTTTTTGGAAGCAGATTCCCAGGCCTGTCTTCTGAGGTTCCACTGGGTGGGTTCGAACCACCAACCTTTCAGCTAGTAGTCGAGCACTTAACCATTTGCACTACCCAGGGACTCTTCATTCATACTGTGCATGGTCACAGATAAAACCAGCCATGCAAATTGCAGTTCCATGAGTATAGATCTACAGACCCAGATCACAGGAACACAGTTACACACGTGCACACACATCAGGCCATGGCCACAAACATGTCACCATATGTATACACTCACTCACCTCACAAAACCACATTCACATACACCTTAAAGCTAAATCCTGATAAATATACCTTCTCAGACATCTAGCCATGGAATCCCAGTTATGCTCATACCTGTAGGTGACCCAGCTTGTTCCGGCTTATCACACACAGTCACACCTGGACCCCACATCCCAGAGGAGCCTGCCCTCCCTGCCAGGCCCATCTCCCTCACTTTGTGGCACCAGCCCAGACATCAGCTGGTTTTGTTTTAAAATTTCTTCCTGCTTATTTTGTTCAGAGTAGCAACTTCCCCAAGAAACCTTCAAATAGGCAGCCGGATGGGGGTGGTGAGGGGGTGGGGGCACCGAAGGATCCAGGGAGAATGCTCATCAAGACTTCCAGTTGGGGCTGGGGGGTGGGAGACTTTTCTAGGCCTTAAAATAGATTTTACAAAGCCCTTGACACAGGAGCACGTGAGATGGTCTTTTCCAGCAGTCAAGCTGCAATGTGGTCTCTGGCTCAGGGGAATGCTAGATGGGGAGGGGGCTGAAGGTTGTCAGTACCCCAGGGTGGACCTGGCCCTAAGGATGCAGGAAAATGGAGTGATGGGGACTTGGGGATCCAGGAATCAGGCTGGGATAGGACCAAGGTGTGGGATTAAGGATAAGGTGTTACAGTTAGGAGGTTGTGGAGGAGACCAGACCCAGGAATCCAGATGATCCAGCTTCAGACCCAAAGTCTCTTTATGCCCAAAGTGATTTGAAAGGACATTCTTCCAAGGCCAAGACTGGGGTCTGAATCACTGGGCGGTATTCCAGTGACCTGCTTGAGACTGTCTACCTACCCAGACTCCTCATTCAGCAGGCAGGGATTGGAGCAGACACTGGAAACCTCACAGCCTCCTGGCCTCAGGAGGGATGTGTGATCATGGGGCTCTGGATCACTTGTCTCTGGTATGGGAGGACATGGCTGAAGTCCTGGGGCCTGGAGCTAAGGGAATTGCCCAGGTGCCCTTATAACTGAAGGTCTCTGTGAATCATCTAATCACCAGTGTCAGAGCAGGAAGGCCCCTTATCTTCTAGTCCAGCATATTCATTTTACCCATCAGGCATCCAGAGCCTGGAGAGGAGAGGGAACTTTCCTGGAGAAGGGCTTCGAGGCAGCCATCAGAGCCACCCCCTGCCATTTACCAGCTGGGTGAATTGGGGCAAATTATTTCACCTTTCTGAACCTGCTTCCCCATTTGTAGAATGAGGACAATAATACATGCCTTACAGACAATAATACGTGCCTTGCAGAGTTATCCAGGGGATTCAGTGACGTAGAATATGCAGTGGCACCCAGTTTTGTGCATGGCACATAGTAACAAACAGTGAATTGTTGATGCTATTATTATTATCACCCATGATCACACAGTGGGGCCAAAAAAAGTGAATTCTCTGCCTCCACCTCTCTGCCCCTTCCCTGCAGCGCACTCTTCTCCCATCTGTAATTCCTTCTTCCCATTTTTTACTTCCAGGTCTTGAGGTTGCTGGTATCCCAGCTTTGTGTGCTTAGAACTGGGCTTGATCTGAGCCTGTCCCAGTCCATCAGGTCCTTCCTGGCACTTGGAGCCCCATTCTGGGTGGGAGTCTGGCCCCAGAGCGATGTATGGGACAGACACGCCGTGGGCATTGGCTCTGAAAACTGTTCTGGAAAAAGGTCCTAGAAGGGTGCCCTCTGCTGCCCTAGATGGGATGGCTCAGTTCTCTGGAGGCTGGTGCCTTGAGAAGTGGAGGAGGAACACCTCTCCTGGACCCAGTCAGGCTTCAGGGCCCTTGGGGGTCTGCCCTTCCCAGGTGCCTCCTTCCTCCCCGTTTATCAGTACCCTGCCATTGATTAGAGCTCCACCCACCCCCTCCTCTCTATTTCAAAGCCTCTGCCCTAGTTCAGGCTCTCTTACCTCCGGCCTGCACTATTACCCCAGCCTTCTCTCCAGCTCTCCTGCCTTACCCCCTTCCAGCTTATTCCTCATGTTGCCCTATAGTGGCCTTCCAAAAACTCACTGTGAAACTTTGGGGGGACTATAATTCTCCATGGGACTTTGCCAAAGTCACTTTCTCACTGGGCCTCAGTTTCTTCTTCTGTAAAATGAAGCTAAAAATACCGTCTCCCAGCTTCCTCCTAGATTTGGCAATCTCTTAAGTTGTGGGAAGCAGTGAGGAAGGTGGGGTCAGAGCTCTGGGGGTCCCAGGACATGGCTGAGTTCTGGCCTGGCACTAGGTTCGGCCCACACAGGGCCTGGACTGTCTCAGCCCTACCCAAGTAGCTGCTCTTTTCAGCACCAGGGACAGTGGCTCTTCCCTCCTTGGCTCTGGCTGCTGGGTCAGAGTCAGGAGAGGGTTTAGGGCTGGTCCAGGAGATGCCATGGGGAGTGCCGTGGAGGCTGTGACCACATCTCCCTTGTGATATGGTGGGACAGATGGGATAGTTCCTGGAGTCTTTCGATCTCCAGGTACTACAGAATTATTGCAAGCAACATGGCCTGTTCTCTAGAGAGAGAGAGGGTACGTATAGTTACTCCCCAGATTGGCAGAAGCTCAGAGTCTGGACAGGTAAGAAGCCAGCAGAGAGCTTTTCTCTGAGGTTACAAGACCTTTCTTGCCACCCAGAGCACATGGAACTTAATCTCTGCCAGTTCACAACTCAAATGAATGAGGAATTGGTGGAGGGAAGTGAGAACTAGTACATGATGGTAGAAAGACCCTTAGACTGGGCGTCTGCAGGCCTCGGGTCTAGTCTCAGCTGTGTTTGTGCCTGGGCCTCAGGCTCCCCAACTATGAAATGGGGTGGGGAGATAGCTGAGTTATCTATAACTTTTCAGGATTCCTTGGCTCCCCCACACCAGGGCTCACATTGGGTTGGGCAAATCTGATCAAAGAAAGTAAATTTGCTCCCAAATGGATCAAAGCTTTCCCAAGCTCCAGAAGAGGGAGGATTGGGGGTCGTGAGAAGGTAGGCTCTAGCTTCAGCTCAGGGTGTGTGTTGGGGTGAGGGTTAGAGATATGAGGGGAGGGAAAATGACTTGCAGCCCCCACAGATCTGTCTTCTAACTGGGTTAGAGGGGATGTGGCAGTTAGGAGCCAGGGAGAGGGCAAGGCTCCTCCCATGCCCACCATCATTATCTAGCCCTCTGTGTGTGTGTGGTGGGTCAGACACCATTTGTGGGTTTGCATCTATGTGTGTGACTGGTCAGACTCAATTCTCAGTGTTATGGTGTGAGGGCCACATGTATGTGACTGACTTTATGTGACAGAGTATGTCGTGTATGTGTGACTAAGACCTGGTGGGACCATTTGTGATTGTGTTACTGTGTAAACATGCATATGATCTTGTGTGTGAGATTACTCTATTCATATATGTGACTGATGGCACTTGTGTGTGCCTGCTTATTGCTGGCTATGTGAAAGAAATATGTATGAGGTAATGTGACTGTGTGAGAGAGAGAGACAGAGAGACATATTGATGGACTGATTGATTCCTGGATATGCTAGCTATTCCAATATCCCAGAAGCTGGGATGATTTCAGAGAAGACATTCTTCCTCATTCCCCTACCCCCCTGTTCCAAGTTTCTCCCACCTCATTCTGTCTACCAGTGATGTCTGCCCTCTCAGCCTTCCCTCCTCCAGTGAGGTATTCCTGAAAGATAAGTAGGACAAAGCAAGAGAAATAGTCTTCCTTTTCCCAGGCTGGGGTCTTGAACATCCCCTCCCCGATCCACCAATGGATGTGGGTGGGAGAGAGGGTTTCCAGGGTAACCAGCTCCCCTCTCCCCACTGCTTGTAGGGGGCGGTGCTGTGTGTCCCACCCTCAGCCTCTTCATCCCTGGAGGCAACTCTGCTCTTAATTTGTCTGGGCCTATTTGCTGTCTAACCACTGACAGCAAATGGCTTCTTTGGTACAATCCCCATCTGAGCGCCACTTCCCTCCCCATCAGGCTCCTCAGTGAGCCAAGCTTCAGCAGGGGAAGTCCCAAACCCTCAACCCATCTTCCCTCACCCCACCCCCGGGAGGAGAGAGGGCCTAGAGGGACCACACTGCAATGCTGAGGAGGTTGCCATGGAAACCCAGGCAGGATAGTGCACCACCGATAGGAGAGGAATAGTGCCCCGTGTTCCCTGCAAGGCCAAGGAGGGGGGCTGGTGGGGGCAAAGAGCCCTCTGAACAGGAGGTCCGGACACACGGGTGGCTTCTCACTGCACAGCTTCTGGGCTCCTCTGCGGACCTTTCTCTCAAAGCCTGAGTCAGTCCAGGCCAACCTAGCAGTCCCTCTCAGTCTTGCTTTCCTAACGGCCTCTCTACTTCTGCACACATCCCTCTCCATGTTCAGACCCATCCTAAGGCATGTTCATTGAGCAGCCAGGCTTTACAATGGAGTTTTTGATAGGGTCTTTGAAAGTGTCAGAGAGGTGAGTTGTGGGATCTGGGTGTGATAGGGTCTGTCAGGGTACCTGGAAGAGGGACAGTAAATCTGGGATTCCCAGAGAAGGCAAACTTTCCAGAAGAGAGAAGGAAAGGGATGCTTAACCCTTTGGGGCAAAGGCTGAAAGGGGAGTGGGAGGGTAGGCATCGGGGGAGCCAAGCAAGGATGAGGGTGAGGGCCCGGGGCTGCAGGACTGGGGCTCTGCCTGTGGCTCCCCCTTACCCCCGCCACTCGACGCTGCCTTCAGCCATCTCGCTAGTCTGCTTTGTCTGTGTCACTGCCCTGGGCAGGGCCAGGAGTCTCAGGCCGCCTACCACCTCCAGGGATCCTCTCCACAGTGCCCTGCCTCCAGTCAGAGCCAATGCCCATCCCATCCCCTCCTAAGAGGGTGACATTGGCAGCGCTCCCAGAGAAGCCTCATCTGCAAGCTGACCTTGTTCCCTCTCTGTGCTTGGGGGTCATAGAAGCGACCACCAAGAAGCTGCGCAGCAACATCCGGCGGAGCACAGAGACGGGCATTGCAGTGGAGATGCGGAGTCGGGTCACACGCCAGGGCAGCCGGGAGTCCACCGACGGGAGCACCAACAGCAACAGCTCGGACGGCACGTGCGTGCAGCCCCCCAGCCACGCCCCATCACCTGACCATGGTCCCGTCCTTCTCCCTGGCTCCTTGGCCCTCTAGTCACAGAGCCTGGGGGCACAGTGGGAAAGTCTCCCAGTTTAGTTTCCAGCTGAGATGTCTGGGCTTCTCTGATATCTCTGCCTCCCTCCACCCCTCCCCAGATACCTGACTGGGCCTCAGTGTCTTCCTCTTTCTCAGGGCTACTCTTTCCCACTGAATCCTCAAGTGGCCCAGGAGCAGCCAGTCCCTTCTGTGTGTTTCTTGCCTCCTAGCACCTACACACTGCCCTGCTAGACGAGAGGGTTCTAAAGGAAGATGTGACCCTTTTACATGTACAACTACTGTAATGGCTCAGCTGGGTGGAGTTCTTACTTGCTTGGAGCTTAGGGAAGGAGGCTGGACCAGATCATTGGTTTTCAAACTGGGGGTGGTGACTAATAGGCAGGAAGTAGTCAGTTTAGTGGGTCAAAACCAGCTTTAGACAAAGAAATAGGAAACTCGTGTATAACATATATATTATTTTTGTGAGTACTACCGAGTATTGTGAATTTTTGTTTCAGTTTTCTGTGTATAGATGCACATATATCTATACTGGGCCGTGATTAAATGTCTCTCTTACATTTACATGTGGGTTGCAGTCAAAAAACTAGAAAGTCACTGTTCTAGATATTCCATCAGATCTCTTCCCAATCTGTGAAGCTATGGTTGTGTGACTAAGATGTTCTGATTCTGCCTCATCAAGCCCAATAGTTTCCAGTCTCAAGATTCTGTGGCTCTGTTATTTAAGAGTCTGTGACTATATGTCTCGCTGCTGGGCCTGCTTCCGTGAATGCGAGTAGCCACTAGCATTCACTGCATCTTACCATGTGTAGGGCACATACTGGGCATTTCAGATCAGCGCTCCTTAGGCTGGGATCTACAGACTGCCATCAGACTAGTAACGCTGGGCTACGAGTCCGTGATGATTGAAGTATAGAAAGTAAGAGTAAGCGTTTAGAAACTCTCATGGCAATGTAACATGCTGTGGCACTACTATTGTATTTTACAAAAATATTAGCCTTTGATGAATTAGAAATTAAACAAATTGGTCCTTCAGCCTGATTGTTTGAGAAGCACTGGTTTACATGTGATGTCTCATTTAACACAACAGCCCTGAGGGATATAAGCACTCTCATCATCTCCATTTCACAAGTGGAGAAACTGAGGCACAGGAGGAGGGTGGGGTACCCTGCTCAGGGTCACAGCTTTTAAGTGGTGGTGAAGTCAGAATTTGAATTAAGGCTCTTCGACTCCGTAAGCTTTGTTCACAGTCTCTCTATATCAGGCTCCTAAAATTCTGTGGCCTTGAGAGTCTGCGTTTCTTTATTTAGCCTTCTCAGATCCGGTTGTCCTAAGAGTGTGATATTAGGCCACTGCCAGCCGTGGGCAATGAGGGTGGGTGGGCCTGGAAGCCCCTTCCTGGGGAGGAGAGGCTAAGCCTAGCAGGGCAGAGACATAAGCTCTTTCTGACAAGCTTACACGGCCTGTTCTGGCCTCCCTGCCTGGCACTGGCCACCAGGAGCTCAAGGCCAAACTGTCCAACAGGATTCTTTCTTGGACAGCCTTTTCTCTCTCTAGCCAGGAGCCTGGGCTGTTTTATATCTTAGAATCTTGTTTGGTTTGTTGGAGTCCCTGGACAGGCCTGGGCAGCCTTCCCTCTTCTGTCCGTTCTCTGCTAGCCCCACCCAGAACATCTAGGCTTGAGGACATGAGAAAGTAGCACTCTCCACTTTATGACAAAGGCAACAGCAGCAACATCACTACCACTTGTTTTCTGTGTGCCTGGAACTTTCCACACACCATCTCCCCTAATCCTCACAGTTATCCTGTGATTTGAACATCACATGCAGGTGTGACAGATGTCTACCTCTTTTGAGTCTCAGTTTCCTCATCTGTAAAACTGGATAATGGCCCCTACCACACGGAGCAGTTGTAAGATTAAATGATATAACGCATGTGGAGCATTCAGTACAGTGCTGGCACCTGGCCAGCTTTCAATCACTGTTAGTCTTTCTCGTTTCTGTTTCTCAGTCCTCCGTAGCCATGAACTGCCCACGATCTCAACCCTATAATTGTGTTACTTTGGTCTCAGTTGCTGTTTTGGGTACCGCCTCACATTACTGACTTAAATTTCAAACTTATGGTCGACTCAAACCTCAGTTCTTGGAACTTGCTCCGGGCCTAGACATTTCTGGTTCTTGGCAGTAACATCTCCTGATGAGGCACAGGTGCCCAGCAAGCCCTGCTTTTTAAGTATCACATCAGAAGTCCCTGGTACTTTAGGATCAGACACCATCATTATGTTATTTTTATTAGTGTCTTTTCTCAAGTGACCTCAAAGTTGTTTTTTTTTTTTTCAAATGTGCAGAATGAGCAGCTCTGTTGTCTCCAGCCAGGATGGTCCACTCACATTGTGTAGAGGAGAAACTGAGGCACAAAGGGGCATGCCCATTGCCCCAGGGACAGAGCCACTGCATCCTGCCATCTGCGCCCCTACTTCAAGGATGCCCAGATACCCTCACACACCCCCTCTGTCTCCTCTTCCAGGTTTATCTTCCCTACCACCCGGCTCGGGGCCGAGAGCCAGTTCAGTGATTTTCTGGATGGGCTGGGACCAGCCCAGATCGTGGGGCGACAGACACTGGCAACACCACCGATGGGTGAGTCTTCCTGCGGCTGGGAGAGTGGGGTAAGAGCGGCTACGCAGGAGGAGGGAGGAGCTCAGTGGGGCCCTCGAGATGCAGTGTGAGCAGCAGAAAGGAGCTCTCAACCGGCTTTTGTGGCAGCGAGAAAGAGTTATCCTAGAGCTTATTAGTCTCTCCATCAGAGATGAAAGGGTTCCAGCCTTTCTCACGGGTTGCCCTGAAGCTTTTACAGCACGTTCTCTCCCTCACTTCACCACTCACTCGCCCACTGTCCCACCGCCTACTGTGTACTGGGCAATGCTAAATGCTAGTTATAAATGGTGAACAAAGATAGTCTCAGCATCTGCTTTCAGGAAGTTATTCCATCACTGATTCTGTATGACCTTGGGCAAGTCACATGTCTCTTCTTTGAGCCTCCATTTCCTCATCTGTAAAATGGGAGTAATAATACCCATCTTAGTTCTGCAATTTAACAACTATTTTTTTGAGTTCCTACAGGGTCGCTGTGAGTCAGAGTCAACTCGACAGCAAGGGGTTTGGTTTGGATACTTGCCGTGAAATATTTTGTTTACTTCTTAAGAATTATGTCTTATTTGACTTGTTACCCTTAAGCCAGTGGCTGGCACCCAGAAGCTTTTTAGTAATTTTACCACCCCTCTTCCCTGGTGGCGCAGTGGTTAAGTGCTCAGCTGCTAACCAAAAGATCAGCGGTTTGAAGCCACCTGCTGCTCTGTGGGAGAAAGATGTGGCAGTCGGCTTCCATAAGGATTTGCAGTCTTGGAAACCCTATGGGGCAGTTCTACTCTGTCCTGTAGGGTCACTGTGAGTCTGAATTGACTCTCTGGCAGTGGGTTTCTTCCCTGCAGCTGAGAAATGCTTCCTGGAGCCTATGCTTGGTCTTATTAGCTCCATTCTGGCTCAGTTCAGGAGTTCTCAGATTGGCCCCACCCTCCCTCTGATATTGGCTCTGTTGGTTTCGAGCAGCTCTGCCCTAGGCCTGGCTTCCCCAGAGATGCCTCCTCACCCCTACCCCCTTCCCATTCATCTGACTGAACAGTGTCTGACCCAAACGTCCCCACTCAGCCCTCGTCTGGACAGTGCTCAACCTTTGACCCTCACAGCAGAGGAGGAAACCCAGATGCAAATGGTGCCCTGCTGCGAGTCACACAGTGGAGCTGGGATTTTATTCTAGGCCAGGACCCTGTCAGTGAAAATGCCCACAGGGAGCTTGTCTGCTGGAAGCGGGGCCCACAGGGACCCTCAGAGGATGATGGCCAGCTCCCATCTGGCTCCGGGTTTAGCTAATTCCCAGTCCTTGCTTCCAGGCTCATAAGGGCTTGGGGAGCCTGCTTTTCCAGCCCTGGGATGGAAGGCAGTGAGAGGAGTCAGCCACTTCCACAAGGCTAATGCGCCATCACAGCCTAAAATGTTTAGGTGCGGTGCCCCCTGGTGTCCAAAGCTGGGAAGGAGAGATTTGCATTTGCTAAACTTGTGAGGGATGTTAATAGTGAGATGTGGAAGAGATTAATTCCCGAGACCCTTCCTGGTTCCCCAAGGGGAGGTCAGGAATAACTGGAGGGAGGGGAGTAAATTCCAAGATATCTCCTGAAAGTAGAAAACTCCCATCTTCCCAAGAATGTAAATACAATTGCATGATGGTCCATTTTAATTTTTCTGGGTCAAGCTTATGATTCTGGACCCCTTTGAAGAATGTTCTAAGTACTTAATGCATAATTTCAAATTCTGCTCACTCATGTTGAGTGAGAGTTCCCAGCTGGATATTCTGCCTTGTGGGGGCACAATGAGGAGTTCTCTGCACCCAGGAAATCTGCCAGCCTTCCCTCACTCGTTGGGCAAGGGAACCCACACAGGTAGTGCCTCAGGTGCTGGGTGGGCACATGTCTCCGCATCTTTTCTAACTGATTTTCTTTAAATTGTCCAACATATATTTAGGGGATTGGTGGGGCGGGGGAGCAGCTGTGTAGGAGAAGGAGAAGAAGAGCTATTGATCCCACAGCCTCTCCTCCGTCTTCCTGAGCAGTTCAGCTCTGGCCCGAAACTTGCCTGTTCTGCTCAGTAAAACAGCAGCGCCTCCAGTCAGCCAGACTTAGCTGGGAGTTTGGCAGCTCTGTGTTGTTACCCAGGCACACCTCTTAAGGGTCATGCCACCATCCCACCCTAAGGAACCTATCCAGGTATTTCTCCGCCACTTACAGTGGCTTCCCAAGAGGAGTTGTGGCACATGCTATTTTCTCCATCGTGTTTCCTTTCTGGCGTTGGTACAGCACCCTCTGAAGACTGGCCTTCTGTACAGCAGTTGGCTGGCCTGTCCCTTGGTCTGGCTCTGCCTGGACTCTCGCTCTCCTCCCTTGCAGGGGACGTGCATATTGCCATTATGGACCGGAGAGGCCAGCTGGAGGTGGAAGTGATTGAGGCTAGAGGCCTGACCCCCAAACCAGGCTCCAAATCCCTCCCAGGTGAGGCTGAGCAGCTGGGGAGGAATTTTGGAAATGGGGTCCTAGCAGGGAGGGCCGTGCAGCCAAGCTCTGCGCCTAGCATTCCTCAGCACTGTGTTGGCCTGAATCGGTACGCTTGATCGACACTGGAGTCATGCCTGCCTGGAAGGCCAGTGAGCAGGAGTGGGGGCTCAGTGGTGGATTAGTCAGTGTTTGAGTCAGCCTGTCCACCTGCTGTCTGTCGCTCAGCTCATCATCACTCTGCTCATCTCCAGGTGATCCTGGGCTTAGGGGAGGGGGCAGGCCAGAGCGGTCTCCTCAGGACCCCTCCCGTCATGCTTTCTCTCATTCTTCAGCCACCTATATCAAGGTTTACCTGCTTGAGAATGGGGCCTGCTTGGCCAAGAAGAAGACAAAGGTGGCCAAGAAGATCCGTGACCCCCTGTACCAGCAGGCTCTGCTCTTTGACGAGGGGCCCCAGGGTAAGGTGCTGCAGGTAAGTGTGGTGGGGAGGGGGACTCTCACAGATTTATGATTCATCCTGGGCAGGCAGTGTACCAGATGCATTAATGCACATTACTCATGTATTTTTATAGCCCAGTGAAGTGTTACTGCACCCAGTTTATTCCTAAGGAAATCAAGGTTCAGGGAGGATGGCTAAGTTACCTCCTGGGTTGCACAGCTAGTAGGTGGAACCAGGATTTGTCTGACCATGCCTTTTCCCACCAGTTAATGATTGCTAATGTTTCTGGAGCTTCCGATCAATGCCAGACTTTGTGCTATGTGCTTTCCAAATGTGATCTCATTTAATCCTCGTGACGACCCTGTGAAGGAGGTGTGATTGCCCATGTTACAAACGAGGAAAGAGAGTCTTAGAGAGGTGAAGTGACTTGCTTAAGGTTTTAGCTAGTGACTTGCAGAGGCAAGTTGAGCCCAGGTCAGGGTGACTGTCATCCCAGCCGTGTCAGAGTAACAGAGCCCTTCTGCACACTTTGTTGTTTGTGTCTCACAGCAGTCCTGGGAGGGAGGGGCTATTTCATATTTTATGCCGTTTCATAAGTGAAGAAACAGAGGCACGAGAGGTTGTATGGGAATACAGCATATGGTAGTCTCAGGACTCAGTCCTGGGTTCAGGCTCCAGCTCAGTTATTTACTAGCTGTAGGTGGTATGTTGTGGAGATTAAACAAGATATTACACATAAGGGGCCTAACATAGTGTCAGCCCTGATGGCACAGTGGTTAAGAGCTTGGCTGCTAACCAAAAGGTCGGCAGTTCGAACCCACAGGCTGCTCTGTGGGAGAAAGATGTGGCAGTCGGCTCTCATAAAGATTTACAGCCTTGGAAACCCTATGGGGCAGTTCTACTGTGTTCTGTAGGGTCGTTATGAGTCGGAATCGACTGGACAGGAATGGATTTTTTTGGTAACATAGTGCCTGGCATATAGACGGCTACTCCCTAAGCATTAATTGTGGTGGTAGTATTTGGCCGTGGCGTTGCCTGAGGCTACACAGGTGGCAGAGAGGCTAGAAGCCAGGGCCGTCTGGGGCTGTCTGACTCTCATCTATGGCTTTTTCTCTGGGCCGAGGTACTCACATGGCTACCTGCCAGTGCCCTTGGAGTCGTGTACCACAAGAACTATAGAACCCTGGGGTTCTCTCGGGAATCTTGGGAGCAAGGGGGAGGCTGAGTAGTTCTGTCCTACTTTAACCAGGTCAAACTCTCATTTAATCTGTATGTATACACGCATACACACATACAAATATCTATACCCATCTGTGTCTATCCATAGATATATGTATTCCATTTTGAAAAAGGATTCGCTGATAAACACACAAGTTTGAAAATCATCAAGCTCATCTATTCCCCTCTCCCAGTTTTATGGAAGGGCACACTGAGGTCCAGTGAGGGCAAGGGGCAAAGCCCCCAGTGAGCCAGCTGCACAGCTGGAGCTATGACCCGGGCCCTGGACTCAGGCTGCGCCTGCCTGGGGAGAGCTGTCATCTGGGATGCTGGGAGACTGTGGAGTTGGACACACCCAGGTTCCAATCCAGCTTGGCTATGAATTACTGTGTATCTCTGGGTTAGTTAATTAACCTCTCTGAGCTGCAGTTCCCGCGTAGTGGAAATGATAATACACAAGACCCTTACTTAGCTGGCTCACTGTGACAATTGAGATGATTATGCACGTAAAATCCATGGCACATCGTAAGTGCTCAGTAAGTTGCTGGCGAAATCAGTCTGGGTTCTGGCTCTCTCTGCCCATCTGTGGCCTGACAACACTTGCAGCTCCTGGGCCCACAACCCAGCTGTGGAGTGTATGTGTGGGGTGTGACTCATTCCTCACACTCTTCCTCCCTACTGCAGGTGATTGTCTGGGGAGACTATGGCCGTATGGACCACAAGTGCTTCATGGGCATGGCCCAGATCATGCTGGATGAGCTGGACCTGAGTGCCGCGGTCACTGGCTGGTACAAACTCTTCCCCACCTCCTCAGTGGCCGATTCCACGCTTGGATCCCTCACCAGGCGGCTGTCTCAGTCCTCTCTGGAGAGTGCCACCAGCCCCTCATGCTCCTAAGGACCTCAGGAAGAGGGGCCGGGATGGTGGCGTGGGAAGGGGTGCCGGCTGGCCCCCCACCTTCTCCCCTGTACATAGTCTTTGTCTCTACCTGGACCCCGTGCCCTGCTGCATGCCTGTTGGCTACTGGGCTTGTCCCGGCTGGCAGTAGAGACTAGCGTGTGTGCGTGTGTGTTTGTGTGTGTGTGTATAGTCTGTGTATGTGTGTGACCACGTTTATATATGTTCACCTGTCTGGGTGTGGTCAGTCCCTGTGACTACGTGGGCTGAAATCCATGTCTGTTTGTATCTTGTTGAAAAGAAACCCAAAGGCACGACTCACCCGGAGGGGTCCCCAGGGGTGGAAGTGGGGGATGTGGCCATTGGTTCATCCTGCCTGGTCTCATGGCCGGGGCAGAGCCTACGTGTTCCCTATCTGTGCCTCCTCTTGGTGGTCTCTGCTTAGTTCTCTGTCGTGTCCTTTGTTCTACCCTCAGCCTCTCCCCAGCACTGCTGCTCTTTTTTGAGGAACGTAGCATCCACTGCAGGTGAACATGCTGAGGCCCCTCTGGGAACCCCATCTCATCCCCACCTCTACCACCTCTACCCTGACACCCCTCCTCCCGCCCGAGCAGCCCTGGCGGCTCTTCTCATTGAATGCATTCTGCAGCATGTACCATGCTCACCTAGTGCCCTGGCCAGGGCCCCAGGGGAAGAAGCAGCTGCAAGCAGAGGGCTTGGAGATGGCTTTCTCCCTTGAACTGGAGCCACCTGCTTCCCACGTGTGTAACATAAGGAAGTCTTTGTTGCAGGGGAGCTGGCCAGATACGTTAGAGGGAGGTGTCAGGTACCTCCCTGAGCATTTGTTCCTCACCTCTTTCCTCCCTTCAAGGCTCCCTGGCTCTGATATGCCAAAGGAGCCCTCCTCGTGGACCTCAAGAGGCTTGGAGTGGAGGGTCTTAACATTCAGGGGGCCGACCTCAGATGGAGCTGTTATCTTCCAGAGCAGACAATCCCTGCAGATACCTGTGTCCTCCTGAGGCCCTGCTGGGGGCCTTGCCCTCCTCTGAGCTCATCCCTGGTGGAGCATGGCTTGGTGAGGATGTGCTGAGGGTAGGGCTCTTTGCTGAAATAGGGAGGTCTCAGCCTAGCTTGTTCTGAGCCACAGTTGAGAATCCATTTGGACCTCTGGGGATTAGCTGCATGAAGTTCCTCACTGTAGGCTCTATTTTTTGCTCATTTCCAGACCAGGGTCCCTGTCTGGGAGCTCAGACTCACTTGGGCTCCAGGCTCCGGACTCTGAACTGCCACAGTCACCAGCTCTGTATAAGCAATACTTACCCTCCCGGCCTCCCTGCCTCCCTGCCTTCTTGCCCTCTGCCACTGCCCTTTGGAAAGTGGCCTGGCCTGCTCTAAGCGCCTCATTGGCTCTCTGCTTTCTTGCCCACCCTTGTCTGGTTGGAGCTTCTCAAAGCTACTCAAACCCTGACCTAACTTGACAGCCTGACCCTGTTAGTGGGGACCAATTCCTAGTCTGGACCTTTTGAGAGGTCTGCTGGGAATCCTGAAGTCTGGCTCAGGAAGGCTCAAATCTGCCCCTGTCACCCCTCAGTTCTAAGGTGAAAGCAAAAGGTAAGAGATTGCCCCAGAGATGGACAAAGCAGCCTGTGGGTCCACGTCTGGTGGGGAGGAAAGAGGGTCAAGGCATGGGGAAGGCCATCTTTCTGCCTCTTCCCCAAACATCATCCCAAAGTATTGGAGTGACTCTGGCCCAAGTACTTGAGGCAGAGGGAGAGCTACGAGGAGTAGCAAAGGAGAGGTCTTGGAGCCTGAGGGCTTGGACTCCATTCCTATCCAAATCCGGTGGATAGGAGGTGGGTTCTGAGAGGGATGGAGGAGGATGCGCCATGAAGTTCAGACCGTCTCAGTCCAAAGGGCCCTCCCTTTCTGGCAGGGATCCCTATTAGGCTGACACCAGAGCCCTTTCACCCTTCCTCCTCCCCAAGAAAACTAGGAGAAGAAGCCAGGACCCCACAAGTCCTGCCGTCAGACAAAAAGTGAGTAAGGGCAGGGAGAAAATGTACACAATTAGCTTCTGAGTTCCTGTCTCCCGCCTGAGCCTCCATTCTAGTATTTTCAGAGATGAGAACCATTGTGCACGTGGAAGAATGGGGAGGGGTAGATAGCTGGGTAGAGGTTTCTCTTTATGTAGAAAGCAATGGGACTGGGTAATGCATGCATTTCTCATGTCCCTGAAAATGGGGCAAAGAGCCCTGTGCCCTTTAACCCGAGGGTGGGGACAGGAGGAAAGTCTTGCGTAGGGTATTTTTGTCTCCTGTGATATAGTCACCTCTAGAGCAGTCACCACCAGGATAGTTGAAAATACCCTAGACCTTTGAAGTGGTGGGGCCACTAGGATGACGTAGACATTTGCTGATGTAGTACAGTGCTGATACCAGACCGTGACTGTGCAGCCACCCCTAGGGCATGGGGGCATTGCAACACCCTCATCCTTCTAAGGGCCTGGGAAGGCAGTGGGAGGAGGGGAAGCTGCCCCTGGGCAGCTGTCGGCCTCAGTGCACCTTGCTCTGGGGGAGGGTTAGCACAGATGAAGTCCTAGCCGGAGGCGGGGCCTGATACACGGTCACTTGAGCTGACCAGTCTACAGTCCCTGGCTCTCGCAACTGCCCAGGAGTCGGGCCACTCCACTATCCCACCTCTCTAGTGGGAGGTAATCCACCCCCCCCCCCAAGTTGACTTTGGGGAATTATCCTTTTTAACCTTTTGTACCAAATAAGTTACTAATCCCCACCTGGATGCTCTCCTTGCAGGGGGAAACTGTGAGGCTGACGTGTGTGTTGGTGAGTAGTTGCATGTGAGGGTCTGTTTCTCTGCATCCAGGATGCAGGGGCTTGTCTGAGGGCCCACTCTGGAGGTAGCCTGTCCTGGGAGAGGAGAGGCAGAGACATGACTCCTGGCCTTCCCTGGGATGGGGGAGCATCTGCCCCTTGGCGAGGGGACGGTAGGGAAAGAAGAAACACGATTCCCCTGGAGTTCTCCCTACTCGGGGCCAGCTCACTGCAGGTACAGTGTCCTAGCTCCAGATGCCCCCTCATCCCAGGCGACACTGGCGCTGGTACAGGATGGAGCTCTTTGTCACTCCCTCCTCCTCTGCCCAGGCTGGCTTGTCTCCTAAAGGAGTGAGGATGTGGCAGAGACAGGAGTGGCCCTGCAGTGATGCTGGGCTGTGGGTGGGGACAGTGATGGCTGATTCGGAGCCTCTGTCTCCAGGTCTCTGCTCTGTTCAGTCTGTCCCACTTCCGGCAAAGTCTCCTTCCCTACGGGGAAGTCTGTGATGGGCCTTTCGTATGAATCAGTCTCCAGTAAATGGGGCCCAGTCTTGGTTTGAAAGGGGGGATTTGATCCTTCAGGAAAGAACCGTCTCCTAAACTACTCCCCATCCAGTTTCTTCCACCACCCAATTCACTAGGAGAGAAGAACTTAGAGGCTCTTGGTATCCAGCAAGTTCCAGGCAATACCAGCCCTTCATGGGGCTGAGGCTGAACCCAGAGCTCCAGGGAGAGGGCGCACAGCTAGCTTGTCACTTGTGGAATCACTGCCGGACAGAGCACTGAGGTCCAGCCACTCCTCCCAGGGGCATGACACCTACCAGGGGAAGCAGGCCCGAACCTCCTTTACTGCCAGCCTTGAGGACAGCAGTGCACCCTCTTTCAAGACAATAGGTACTTCCAAGGGTACTTCTTTGCAAATGAAGTGTAGCACAATCTTAGACTGTTACCAGGAACACTGACCTGCGACCAGGGTCCTTATTCCATGCCCCACCGCCCAGGAGACGCTGAGCTCCTCTGCTGGGTTTCCAGAGTCCTCATATGTCATAATCCCCATCTTCCTCGGCCCAGAAAGCAGCAGGCTTTAGTAAGGCTGCTCTCTGTGTTTCTCTGAATTGCTCCCAGCACTGTGCAAACTCTGCAAGAGACCGCTGCCTTTGTTCGATGTTGTAGATGAGTTGTCCTCACCTGGGTGGGAGAGTGGGCACAGCAGTCAGGGCCAGGAGATGGTCCAGCAGTCTTCTGGCATTGGTTCCAGGGCGGGTGGAACAGCAGAGACTGCTTCCCGGCCGACTCCTGCCTACCTTTCTCTTCATCTTCTCCGCGTTTTCTCCTCCAATATCCCAACACTTAGAGACTCTTTAAAATGCTGCTTCTTGCACTGGATTGTCTTTCACTGAATGATCAGGGAGGAGATGAGGATGTCGACTCCTCCCCTACCTTCTCCCTCAAGTCTGCGTTTCACTCAGGTCAGAAGAGACTGGGGCAAAGCAAACACAATCATGATGAAAGGGCAGGGGAGCCCCACACAATCAGGTGAGACCTGGGTGGAGCAAGATGGGCCTGGGCTGACTGGGAAAAGGTTATTTTGAAAGAGTGCCTGAGCATCTCAGAACAATGTCAGTGATGCCAAAGAGAGCAACTTGGCCTCCTCGGGCACCAGCTCTTCTGGCTGAGCTGCACAAACGTGGCTCAGTGGTTGGTGTGTCTGATGGCGGGCTTTGTTCTCTGACAAAGGGCTTAATCCTTCCATGTAGCAAAGCAACTCCCTCTCCCCGCAACCCTAAGCTTGGGCTCTTGTGGGCCCAGCGTGGCTGTGCCAGTGAGGGAAGCCACACCAGTGAGAGACACTTGCATTCTCTCAGGGGCCTAGACTGACTGGCTCATTGAGAAGCGTGTTACTGCTTTGGGAAAACCTTCCAGGGCTCTGGCTGGAAATGTGGCCAGTAAGGACAGGGGCCTCTCAAGCAGTTGACAGTGATGCCAGGAGTGGTCCCTGGGACTGGGTTCCAGACAGCTTGGCTAACAGAAATGGGCCTTGGGAATTCCAGGGGCAACAGAGCATCTGCTCCACTGGTCAATGACCTGGGCAGCTGGCTACAGGGAATCAAAGGCTGTTATAAACAGTTTTGCTAGAAACTGTGACCATGGGCAAGACTCCTCACTTTTCTGGGCCTCAGCTAACTCATGTGCAAAACGAGAGAATTATCTAGTTGCTCCATGATTCCCTCCAGCTTTTAAAATCCTCTGATCTGAGATGATGAGGGTTGCAAGCCTGGTGCACCTGGCGCCTGGTTCCACGGGCTGGTTTTTTCCATCCCTTGGTGCCCAAGCTGGTGCAGGTCCTTATCCAGTCCACGCCCAAATGCTGCTTCTGACAAGAACTCTGGGAATCCTAACAGACTCTGATTTCACCTCTTCATGGTGTGTTCTCCTTTTATTCTTATGTAACGATGAGAAATAATTAAGGGTTGTCTACAATGG